TATATATATATATATAGTTATATAATAATAATAATAAATAATAATATATAGTATATATATATATAATAATATATATATATATATATACATATATATATATATATGTGTGTATATAATAAATAAATAAATATATATATATATATATATATAGATATATATATATAAATATATATACCAAAATACATAACGGTCGATTCGTATGTCAAGGTACATCGAATATACATACCTTCATCTGGTGCACTTGCAGGATACATTAGCCCCCTGTCATCTCGCACTGCTTCAATTAACAGACCTTCTGACGGCATGAACGTCAGCGTACCATCCAACATATCCCCGTCATGCGTGTTGATGGTCAAGGGAATATACTGGAGGATACCACTTAAATATATACCTGGAGTGTACGGGAGTATTAATGGGATATCAGCTAGTGGAAAATGCAACAGTTTCAGCTGAATTATATATAAATATAAATATATATATATATATAAATATATACATGTTTCAAATATACGTATACATATACATATACATACATCCATCCATCCATACATAAATACATACTTACATGCATACATACATACATATAAATATAAAGACACACAGACACATACACAGACACAGACACGGATATATATATATACATATGTATATATGTATAGATACACAGATACATAGATATAGACATACATACATACATACGTACTTATATATATATATATAAATATATATATATGTACATATATGTATATCCATATATATATATATATGTATATATATATATATATAAATATACATATATATATATATACTATATACATATACATATACATACACATATACTTATACATATACGCATAAATCATGCACATACACACACATATACATATGTATATATATATAAATATACATATGCACATATATATAAATATATATGTAATATATATATATATATATATATATATATTCATAATCATATACCTATACATATCCAAAAAAGTTATACATAGACTTTTAAACATATATTTGTATATGTTTGACGATACGCGATTGTATTTTGTGAATGCTCAATATAATGCTGCACTGCAGATAACCATGTACACACACACTCTGACAAACATTTATATACATATTCTGTTCATGCACATACATCCCAATATACTCATATGCCTACACGCACTTCGTAGTCGTATATGCATACCACTCAGACGCGAATTTGTGTACAACACAGGATATTAAAAACTTACTTTTCTCGGGGATATCGGGAGCTAAACTAAGGTTTATCTGACTACTATCGACACTAATGGTGTACTCTATATCCAGATAGTCGTAGATGTGTCGCATCTGCAGGTTACCCATGCAGGCTATTAATTCTATACATTCGTATCGCCCCTTTATCGGTGCCTAGAAACCGATACAGAGGTGTCAGTGGCGAGAATAAATTTAGCATCACCATATTAGCTAGAACCTCAAACCCAGTGTATATGCTCTTTATCTTGGCAGAAGAGGCTGGAGTGTACTTGTCAGAGATGTTCCCGGCACATACATGTTCAGGTGTAAGTACCCAGACAATAACATCAAACTCACTTAATCCGTAGAACATATGGGCAAGTCCTTGGGCTGTATGTGCTAGTGAGGTCGGCGTAGCTCCAGTGCCCGTCTCCATCAGCAACAGTATGGAGAGGAGACATACAAACAAACGCCAAGTGATGCATATAGGTCAAACGTATACGTGGATACAGACTATAAAGAATATCTAGCGATGCGGCAGAGGACAGTGTAAACTACACATATGAAATTGTGTACAGACTGCAAAGATTGTTCAACACGTTGTAGGTACATCTCAACAAAAAGTATACATATATATTAATATACGTGCGTATATATATATATATATATATATATAATTATACATATATATATTTATATATATATATGTGTGTAATATATATAAGGTATATAAATAAATAGTATATATAGACATAGACATAGACATAGACACACACACACACATATATTATATGTATACACACACACACACACACACAC